TGTTCAGACCAGTTCAAACCAGTTCAAACCAGTCCAAACCAGTCCAAACCAGTTCAGACCAGTTTAAACCACTAATCCCAGACCCCAAACCAGTAAGGAAAAACGCCAAACCAGTATAAACCAGTAAGGGGAAATCCCATTCCCAGTTTAGCCCAGTGAGCCCAGAGCCCCTCCCAGTGACCCCAGTGACCCTCCCAGTTCAAACCAGTATAAACCAGTATAAACCAGTTCAAACCAGTTCAAACCAGTTCAAACCAGTCTAAACCAGTTCAAACCAGTTCAAACCAGTCCAAACCAGTCCAAACCAGTCCAAACCAGTTCAGACCAGTTCAAACCAGTGACCCCAGAGCCCAAACCAGTCCAAACCAGTATAAACCAGTATAAACCAGTCTCACCGCCATTGGCTGGTAGGCGGCGATCGATGACATCAGCACGATGGCTCCGCCCCTAAATGGGGGAGTGGGCGTGGCTTAGCGCGGGAGCTGTCAATCAAGGGAAGCCACGCCCCCATGGCTGGAACCATGGGGGGAGCTCCCAGTTCAAACCAGTAAAAACCAGTTCAGACCAGCATAAACCAGTCTAAACCAGTCTAAACCAGTCTAAACCAGTCCAAACCAGTCTAAACCAGTCCAAACCAGTTCAAACCAGTCCAAACCAGTCCAAACCAGTCTAAACCAGTCCAAACCAGTTCAAACCAGTCCAAACCAGTCTAAACCAGTCTAAACCAGTATGAACCAGTCTATCCCAGTCTAAACCAGTTCAAACCAGTCCAAACCAGTTCAAACCAGTTCAAACCAGTTCAAACCAGTTCAAACCAGTTCAAACCAGTTCAAACCAGTTCAAACCAGTTCAAACCAGTTCAAACCAGTTCAAACCAGTTCAAACCAGTTCAAACCAGTTCAAACCAGTTCAAACCAGTTCAAACCAGTTCAAACCAGTTCAAACCAGTTCAAACCAGTTCAAACCAGTTCAAACCAGTTCAAACCAGTTCAAACCAGTCCAAACCAGTATAAACCAGTCTATCCCAGTCCCTCCCAGTATAAACCAGTAAGAACCAGTCACCCCCGTCTCTCCATGTGTGGCACCACCAGCCGCACCAACATGGCCGCCGCCGTCACGTTCACCTGGAACACCTGAGGGGGCGGGGCCAGGCGGTGACGTCATCGGATGGGGGGGGCGGGGCTTGGGAAAGGGGTGACGTCACTGGGGG